TGATACTTTTGGTCTGTGACTATGGAATGTCTTTCCTTTTATTTATGTCTTTAGTTTCTTTCATCATTGTCTTATAGTTTTCAGTGTACAGATCTTTCACCTGGGTTAAATTTATTCTTTGTTCTTTTATTCTTTTTGATGTAATTGTAAATACGATGTTTTCTCTTCCTGATGATTTGTTATTAGTGTGTAGAAACACAACAGATTTTTTAAAAATTTAAATTCAATTTAATTAACATATGGTGTATTAATAGTCTCAGAGGTAGAATTTAGAGATTCATCAGTTGCATATAATACCCAATGCTCATCACATCATGTGTCCTCCTTAAAAAATGCCCATTACCTGGTTCCACCCACCTCCCCTCTAGCAGCCCTTAGTTTGTTTCCTACAGTTAAGAGTCTCTTATGGTGGAACACGTGGGTGGCTCAGTGTTTAAGTGTCTGCCTTGAGCTCAGGTCATGATCTCAGGGTCCTGGGATTGAGTCCTGCTTCTGGCTCCTTGCTCATGAGGGAGCCTGCCTTGCCCTCTGCCTGCTGCTCCCCCTGCTGTGCCCACACGCTCGTTCTCTCTCTCTCTCTCTCTCTCTCTCTCGGACAAATAAATAAATAAAATCTTTACTAAAAATAAAAAAGTCTCTTATGGTTTGTCTCCCTCTCTGTTTCCTTCTTATTTTATTTTTCCTTTCCTTCCCTTGTGTTCATCAGTTTTGTTTCTTAAATTCTACCTGTGAGTGAAATCATATATACATACATATACATGTTTGTCTTTCTCTGATGGACTTGCTTCATTTAGCATAATGCGCTCTAGTTCATCCACATGTTGCAGATGGCAAGACTTCATTCTTTTTGGTGGCTGAGTATATTCCATATGTATATGTGTGTGCATATATATATATATATATAAAATTGTGTATATATAATATATATATTTATATATATATAGCATCTTTTTTATCCATTTATCTATTGATGGGCATGTGGGCTCTTTCCATATTTTGGCTATTGGAAACACAACAGGGGCGCCTGTGTGGCTCAATTGTTAAGTGTATGCTTTTGGCTCAGGTCGTGATCCTGGGGTCCTGGGATTGAGCCCTGTATCAGGCTCCCTGCTCTGGGGTAAGCCTGCTTCTCCCTCTCCCACTCCCCCTGCTTGTGTTCCCTCTGTCGCTGTGTCTCTCTCTGTCAAATAAATAAAATCTTTAAAAAAAAAAAAAGAAACAGAACAGATTTTGAGCATTGATTTTGTACCCCACAACTTTATCGAATTCATTTATTAGTTCTTACAGTCATATTTCTTATATTGTTCAGTTTTATTCATTTCAGTGACTTTTGTTTTATTGTAATTTGTGATAATATTATTTGATATTTAAATTTTTATTTGCCTAGACTATAGCTTCAAAGACTAAGGTTATTTAAAGTCTCTTTAGTATCATACACAGAATCTTATATAACATTTTAAAAACCCTAGGTGCTCAATTCACATTTTTGGATTATTTAATATGGCATATTAAATGATTGTTTTTTTAAAGATTTTATTTATTTATTTTTTTGAGATTTTATTTATTTATTTGAGAGAGAGAGAGAGAGATCACAAGTAGGCAGAAAGGCAGGCAGAGGGTGAGGAGGAAGCAGGCTCCCCGTTGAGCAGAGAGCCCGACTCGGGGCTCAATTCCAGGATCCTGAGATCATGGCCTGAGCCGGAGGCAGAGGCTTAACCCACTGAGCCACCCAGGTGCCCCTAAATTTTATTTATTAGAGAGAGAGAGAGAGCACACAAGTGGGAGGAGCAGAGGGAAAGGGAGAAGCAGATTCCCCACTGAGTAGGAAGCCTGACTCGCAGCTCGCTGGATCCTGGGACTCTGGGATTATGACCAAGCTGAAGGCAGCCGGTTAACTGACTGAGCCAGCCAGGTGCCCGACTGATTATTTGAATCCCAGATTTAAATTAGGTTTATTAGTCATTCCTTATTATTATTGTAAAGAACTAATTTCTTATTCTTAGATACTGGAATACTGGAATTTACATATTAGAGAATGAGTAAGATAGCGTCTAGCCTGAACTCTGTACCTCTCTTCTCTCTTTCTTAATCTGTAAAAGTTGAGAGTTTGATTAGGCAATTCGTAATGCTCTGGCAAGTTGTATGATGTGGTTAATGTAAAAGTTTTATCACTTCTAGGTTTTTTTTTTTTTGGTGTGGTTATTTATTTATTTATTATTATTATTTTTTAAGATTTTACTTATTTATTTGACAGACAGAGATCACAAGTAGACAGAGAGGCAGGCAGAGAGAGAGGAGGAAGCAGGCTCCCTGCTGAGCAGAGAGCCCGATGTGGGGCTTGATCCCAGGACCCTGGGACCATGACCTGAGCCGAATGCAGAGGCTTTAACCCACTGAGCCCCCCAGGTTCCCCTTTGGTGTGTTTTTTAATACAGATCAGTTGACAAGTTATGAAACAGTGCTTTAAAACTGGTTAATTAGAGGGGCGCCTGGGTGGCTCTCTGCCTACTTGTGATCTCTCTCTCTCTCTCTCTGTCAAATAAATAAAATCTTAAAAAAAACACTGGTTAATTAGAAAATTTCTGTGCGACATTGTCATCTTTGAGTATAATATTGTTAGTATAAAATAATCTATGGGGATGTCAGATTAAGGGGGCTTAACCATGAATATGAAAAATATGAATAAGCCAATCACAAATGAATAAACCATTGAATGCCCAGAGCAGTGAAGTAGATGTATAAATATAGATATGGGAAATAGTATATGTGCATGTGTGTATATGTGTATATAGAGAAAGAGTGAGATAGTCCATGTTAATGAATTTTCAGATAGCTGAATATTGTCCCTCAAATTTTAAAAATAATTTTAAAAACATAAATTTTTATTTTAAAGCTTAATAATATTTCCTTGCTTTATTAGAGTAATAGTTCTCTTCTTTTGGAGTTTGTTGCCTTTTCTGTCAGTTTATCTTTCTTACAAGTCAGTTTGACTCGTGTTTTTGAGAAATCATATAACCAAGTTTCAGAGAGTACTGTATGGGTTGAGAATCAGTAAGTGTTGAATGGTAGCTTGTACAAAATACAAATCATAAATTTGAATGGGTTTGTGCCCTATTTGTATATATTTTTCTTTCTATTTGTATATTTCTGTTTCTTGACTATATTCTGGATAACGTTCTGAATAATTGGCAATACTATTAGGTTTGTGAAATATATTAACTAATGCTTTTAATAAATATTACTATTAAGACAGAGGGATAAACAATAGTATAATACTTGTGTACCTACCACTCAGTTTAAGAAATAAAATACTGTTTTATTACTTACCAGTACTGTTAAATATTTGAATGCTTGTGATACGCTGCTTTAGGCATTGTGTGTATAGCAGTCAACGAAACAAAAATCCTTGTCCTCCTAGAGTTTATATTTTTAGGAAGGGGTTTGCCATTGTCTAATAACTGTCATTGTTCCTGTTTTTAGCATTTCCCCATCCTTTTTTTTTAAAAATTAAGATTCTTATTTATTTATTTGAGAGAGAGAGAGGGTGAGTGAGTGAGTGAGTAGGGGGGAGGGGCAGAAGGAGAGGGAGAAGCAGAATCCTTGCTGAGCAAGGATTCCCAACTGAGGGGAGGGGGCTCAATCCCAGGACCCTGAGATCATGACATGAGCCAAAGGCAGACACTTATCCAGTGGAGCCACCCAGACACCTCTCCCCCATCTCCATCCTTCTTCTGATTTGAATCTTATGTGGTCATGAATATTAGGCAGAATAGTTATTAGAAGTGATTGCAAATAAAGAATGTATAGGCATGTCTGAGAACATGAGGCGTATTCTGTCAGTGCATTTGGCTTGGTAGAGTTTATTTTGTACACACTAAGACATTCAATCCCTAGTATTTTGTTTCACTGCCTAGTCAACACTATCCTATTGTTGGTAACCCTAGTTTCATTAGGTCCGCAAGAGGAAAGGTTCTGGGTCACCTCAAATAACATTTTTGTGTCTGTGTAATACATAATTGAAGGAAATATAGCTTATTTTTTAAGACATTTGAAAGAAAGTTGATTTATTTAAAGAGAAGAAGGCAAATCATAAGAGACTTCTTTAAAAAAAGATTCATTTACTTAAGAGAGCGCGAGCTAGCATGTGCACATGCCTGTGCCCAAGTGTGGGGAGGGGCAGAAGGAGAGAGGGAATTCCAAGCAGACTTCCTGCTGAGCATAGGGCCATTGGGGGTAGGGGCTCAACCCCACAACCCCAAGATTACAACCTGAGCTGAAATCAAGTCATATGCGCAACTGGCTGAGCCACCCAAACACCCCAAAAGTTGACATTTTAGTTTAAATTTAAAACTAAAACTTTTTCGGGGCACCTGGGTGGCTCAGTGGATTAAAGCCTCTGCCTTCGGCTCAGGTCGTGGTCTCAGGGTCCTGGGATCGGGCCCAGTCGGGCTCTCTGCTCATCAGGGAGCCTGTTTCCCCTTCTCTCTCTGCCTCTCTGCCTCCTTGTGATCTCTCTCTCTCAAAATAAATAAATAAAATTTAAAAAAACCTAAAACTTTTTCAAGAAAAAGTGACACTTTAGCTCCAATAACTTAGAGTTGCAGATTCACTTTCTTGTGATGGGCTTGAAAACTTTTTTTTCTTTTTTAAGTAGGCTTTACGCCCGCTGTGGGTCTTGAGCTCACAGTCCCTTAGATCAAGAGTCTCATACTCTATCAATGAAGCCAGCTAGTTGCCTCCAGGGCTGAAAATTTAAAAAAATTTGTGGTATATTGTAAAGAAAACAAGAAGAAGTGATACCTTAGAATTACAGATTTAGTGTTTCTTATGATGGACTAGGAACTTACAACAACAAAAGAAATCTATGGTGTGCTATAAAGAAAACCACCAACTAGAGCACTGTGAAAGAAACCAGGATAAACAGAAATGAGTAAACATCAGAGTGAGCATTAGAGTATGTAACGTCCTCTGAACTTTATTTTCATTTGGTGTTGTTTTAGGTACCGTCAGATCCTGGAAAAAGCCGTTCAGTTATCTGGGGCAGAACAACTAGAAGCTTTGAAAGCTTTTGTGGAAGCAAGTAAGTGGAATGAAAATTCCATGTTTGCCTTGTGTTACTGAGTAGGACTTCAAAGCTTGCTCATGCTTGTTTTAGATCAAGTTACCAATATAATTTGCATTGACATTAAATTAAATCACATGGAAATTCACTTTAGAATTTATTTACTACTTGGTTATTTTTCAATAAGTTGTCTTCAGAGTTACATTACCAATTAAGGTTTTATATAGTAATTGATACAGTAACTGATGAAAGACAATGTAGCATAATGATAAAGAGAATAGTCTAGATTCAGTCTGGTCTCTTGTTATATTAGTTGTGTGTTCTTGGGTAAGTTACTTCCTTTGTGACTCCATGTCCTTATCTATAAAATGGGGATGTGATAGCTACCCTGCGGCAATGCTGGGAGAATAAAGGAGTTGATGTACCAAGTAAAGAGCTTCGAATAGTACTTGGCATATAGTAAGTGCTGCAGAGATGTTAAGTGTTACTAACGTGAAGAACACTCCGTTTGAATGGGAACCAGACATTTCCATTCTTCAAGACATTCTCACCTACTCCCTGACTTCAAACGTATCCAGCTATTTTGAAAATTACTCGAAAGTTAGGCTGGAGTTGATACTGAGTTAACAGTATTAAGGACACTTGAGAGGGCTTTACACTATACAGAATGCTTTCACACACATGCTCATGAGAAGCGCTAGTTTGTGTAGGAATTTCTTTCGAACAGTTGTAAAGGCTCAATGGCACTTGTAATGAAACTATTTTTCAACCGTATCCGGCTTTATCCAAGAATGAATTATGATTAGTACATCATGAACTGATTACACGCTTGTTGCAGGTTACTGTAAGTTACTGTCTCAGAAAGATCGGGGCCTGCATTGGGTGTTGAACTGGCAGTGGCTTCAGAAAGACTGATAGGAATGGTTTTATTGAGAACACTGCATTGTAGTAGCAAAAGAATAGTGATTTTTATTATAAACTTTGATCTTTGTATAAACTTTGAATCCAGTGCACTAATGAAAAGCCATATACCGAAAATCATTCACATCAGCTCAACAGTTTTGGACCATCATTTATTTTCCTGGTAACTGCTGGTTTCAGACTTAATTTATCTGAGCAGTGGTACAAGCACAAATATAATAATGGTGCTAATAATAATGAAATTTGTTGAGTGCTTTGTGCCCCATGTTGTTTAAAGTGCTCTATGTACAGGGCATTTAAGCTTCACAGCCTTAGCCACATTGTACAGATGAGAAAACAGAAACACAGAGAAGCTGAGTTTCTTTCGGAGAGCGTCTGATCAGGAGTGCTGGAAGCAGCGTGGCTTCAGAGCTCTCATCTGTAACCACATACATTGATAAAAACTCATAAATGTTTATAAATATGTCATTAAGTCTGCCTGTACATCTAATGCTGACTTCAGTTTTATTTGTCATTTTTATTGGGAAAGTACAAGTGACGGTAACTGTCACTACTTGCTTTATTTAAATTTCATGAACATTATCTCAGTTTCTTCTTTAACTCCTTTTTGTAACCAGGTGGAATGTAAGTAGATACATAAAAATGGAGGTGTTTCTGTGCCTTCCCTTTGTAGAAAAATAAGGGAGAGAAGGAAGAATATAAAATTCTCAAACGTAAAAGAAAACTTTTCCCCAGCCACTTCTGTTTCTTAGAAAAATATAGGGGATTTTTACTGTTTTGGTATAATCATTATGTAATCAAATAATTCAGCATAAGGAAAACTAATTATGTAATATAAGCTGATATGGGTGTGGAAATCCTGAATAATGCACTAAAGGTTCATTATTAGGAATGCACTAATATATATTATTTTTAATGTTAATTTTAGGTAAAAATTGATTGCTTAATGAAAATTTATAAATGATTCATGTTTTCTTATCTTTTTTTCCTTTGTCAAGTGGTAAATGAGAATGTCAGTCTCGTGATCTCTCGACAGTTGCTAACTGATTTCTGTACACATCTCCCTAACCTGCCTGACAGCACAGCCAAAGAAATCTATCATTTCACCTTGGAAAAGATCCAGCCTAGAGTCATTTCATTTGAGGAGCAGGTAAAAATCTCGAACAGTGACTTTTGAACATGAGATAGCAGCAGGTATTTTAGGAGGTATTACTACGTTTTTAAAGGACATGGTCATCCAGTTTTATTTTTGACAAAATGGTGTGTCAAATAGCATGTTACAATGTAAAAATAGATACTAGGATGTTGTAACTCTAGCTGACAGTTGCTCAGATGTTACAATTTGATTTATAAACCAAATATTACTCTTTAGACAATTTTTAAGAATCAGCAAAATTGTTAATAAGGTTAAAATAATAGGAAAACTCCAACATTATGTATGCAGTTAACATAAAAGTACAATTTCATATTTAAGCTAAATTACTGCCATAATCCACATTGCAGAAATGTATTAGTTCAGTTTTTTGGTATTCTGTATATGCAGAATTCATAAAAAAAATAGGGGTGGTCTAGTGACACTTGTACTATTTACTGGTCAGCTTAATATGTTAAACGAAAGCATTATCACAATAGATTAACTTCGCATCCATTTATTTTAGTCACTAATGTGAGTTGAAGTAGTTTAACATGTCTGCCTGTTATTCCAGGTTGCGTCAATAAGACAGCATCTTGCATCCATATATGAGAAAGAAGAAGATTGGAGAAATGCAGCCCAAGTGTTGGTGGGAATTCCTTTGGAAACAGGACAAAAGTATAGTAAATAGTGGATATTGGATGGAGATGTATATAGGATATGTATCATTGTTCACTTGTGTTTTTTCTCACATTCTAGTGAAGGAAACATCATAAACAACTTAATAAGTACAGACATTTTGCAGAATATTAGAAGGTGATAAGTGCTCTAGAGAAAAGTAAAGGGAAAGTGGGGAACAGGTTGTATCATTAAATAGGGTGGCTAGAGTGGGAGGGTGTCCAGGTACATCTTCTCAGATACTTGAAGGAAGTGGGGGAGTGGCTGTGAGCTGAGAGAAGACTGTCAGATCTGGTGGGGAGGATGGCTAATGTAAAGGCCCTAAGACAGGAGCGCGCCTGGAGTATTTTCAGATCGGGGATACCAGAGTGGTTGGAGTGGAGCAAGCCAAGGAAAGGTGGGGGCTGAGATCAGAGAGTACCAAAGACTGGATTATGTAGGTTCTTCTAAGTCATTATAAGGCCTTTGGCTTTTCTCTAAGTGAAATGAGGGGGAGCCGTTGGAGGATTTTGTGTGGAAGATCGACATGATCTGATTTATATTTTAGAAAATCATTCTGTCTACTGGGTTGAGACTAACTGTACCACTGCAGAGAAGATGGAGATTGTGAGAAATGTTGGATTCTGGATATGTTTTTAAGGTAGAGCTAAGGGTTTTCTGGTAGCTTAGATATGGAGTATGAGAAAAAGAGCCAAAATAAATCCTGGTTTTGGTCTGAACTCCTGGAAGGATGGAGTTGCTATCTACTGAGTAGTAAAGAATAGGTTTTGAGGGAAGATCAAGAGTTCCATTTTGGACATGTGATAACCAAGTGGAAGTACCTAGTAGGGAGTTGAATGTATTAGATACTGTCCTTTACAGTGACCGTAATTACCATTTTGATAGTGCGTAGCATTATCTTTCTCTGTGAGGATGTCAGAGAACTGAAAATTTAGCAGTTTTCTAAATAAATTAACCTAAAAGTGATTAAAAGTAGAATCTGGATAAACAGTTGAGAACTTATTTCTTTAAAGAATTATTCATTTTGATAGTTAGAGTAATAAACTTAATAGATGGCATAAAAATTGGAAAACTCAATAAAAGTATAGTACTCTCTCTTTTTTTTTTTTTTTTAATTTTTATTTTATTTGACGGACAGAGATCACAAGTAGGCAGAGAGGCAGGCAGAGAGAGGAGGAAGCAGGCTCCCCATGGAGCAGAGAGCCCGATGTGGGGCTCGATCCCAGGACTCTGGGATCATGACCTGAGCCAAAGGCAGAGGCTTTAACCCACTGAGCCACCCAGGTGTCCCCAAAAGTATAGTACTCTTTATAGCAGTTCATGTAAATTTGAGTTATGAATGGAAATAGTATACTACAAAATGCTAACAATATATGACTTGGGGAAAAATTTTGAATTAGTATAAAAAAATTTAAAAAGTAAAGACTTTCAGAACTTGGGCCATGTAAATTGTAAACTCCGTTCTTGCCACATGGTGGCATCACTTTTGCTCGTAATAAAAAAGATTTTTCTGTAAGGATTAATCTTGAATTTTGTAAGTTTCGAATTACGTGAGGTGTCAGTTGTGCATTTCTTGCATAAAATGTGGCCACAGAGATAAAGAAGAAAATGAAAACCACCTGTAATCTGAACACCGAGAGATAATTGGTATTACTGTCTTCATAAGTATGTATAGAAATACATCTTAATAGTGTCTTACATGCTGTTTTATCCTGTTTTTTCACTTAGCAAAAAAATACATGACTGTTTTCATATAGTAATGATTATAACAACTGTATATTATCCTATCATCTTAATGTACCACAATTTAGTTGATTATTATAAATATCATAATAGGTGATTCCCAGTTTTTTCCTGTTAGATATTTATGAGTAACTTTATAAATGAATATTCCTTTTATATATGTGTACACATCCCTGATTATTTTCTTGAGATTAATTTTCTGGAGGTAAAATGTAGTAGGTAAGGAATGTATGCATTTTCAAGGGTTCAAAGGGTGGTTGGAAAATATATTGCCAAATTGTTTTCCAGGATGGTTTACTCATTTATAGCCCCAACACCACTATATGATACACCCCTCAACTGGGCATTTTTTAAGTTCTTTGACTTGTGAGATTATCTGAGGATTGAAGGAAGCTAAAAAACAATAGAACAATCATGATAGAAAAAATAAAAATTGAGTAAAATTTATTTTGTAAATATTTTTTAGACTTTTTCTAATATAGTAAAAATTTGATTCTCTTAATTTAACAGAATATGTAATGAAAAAATGTATTTTCTCCAACTCCTAAAAACTTTTATTTTTTTAATAAATCCTTTTTTTCTTTTTAAGATTTTATTTATTTATTTGATAGAGAGAGAGATCACAAGTAGACACAGAGGCAGGCAGAGAGAGAGGGGGAAGCAGGCTCCCCGCAGAGCAAAGAGCCTGATGTGGGGCTCGATCCCAGGACCCTGGGATCATGACCTGAGCCGAAGGCAGAGGCTTTTAACCCATGAGCCACCCAGGTGCCCCTCCTAAAAACTTTCTTGATTATATATTTAGTCATTCTGTTTTTTTCTGTTACATCCTAGGCAGTACAATGTAGATTATAAACTGGAGACTTACCTGAAGATCGCGAGGCTGTATCTGGAAGATGACGATCCCGTCCAGGCAGAGGCTTACATAAATCGAGCATCATTGCTTCAGAATGAATCCACCAATGAGCAGTTACAGATACACTATAAGGTAACAGATGAGCTGATTTGGGATTAATTTTGTATTGGAGAATCCTACTATACTAAGATGCTCCAGAACATCATTTTATTTTTTGCTTTGATTTTGAGTTTTTGGCTTTGATTTTGAATTTTTTCCCCTAATTGAGAAATTTCCCTCTTTAGGTATGCTATGCACGTGTTCTCGATTATAGAAGAAAATTCATTGAAGCTGCACAAAGGTACAATGAGCTCTCTTACAAGACAATAGTGCATGAAAGTGAAAGACTAGAGGCCTTAAAACATGCTTTGCACTGTACCATCTTGGCATCAGCAGGTAAACTTGTAATTTGTGCTTTCATGAACAGTTACCTTTGCTTAATAATTGCAGGTTCATTACTACTGGAGGATTTAGCAAAAAACTATTTTTTAAGGGGATGTCTTATTGCAATTATAATTATGTCTTATGCAGTGATAAATTTAAACATTTAAACAGTTAAAAACAGCAATAAAATAGATTGCTAACTTAAAAAATTTTTAAATATGCATGTATCTGTCTATTACCCACATGTGTTAGGAGTAATTAAGAGAGATAACATGAAATTTAGTTTGCCTAATATAGCTCTTAAAAATAAATAATGAAATTCAGTGAAAATTATATAAAGGGAAATAAAAATTAAAATCTAGAGATTGATAATAATGTACTGCTTTTGGGATTTTCTTTAACTTCAAGCCTTAGTTTTATATCTCACATTTATCCTTTTCTTTGGTAAATATGAAAAATAAACTGTTCTTTGTTCTTTTTTACTAAATTATAGCATATAAATCACTCAACTTATAGAGCAGAAAAGACATTGAGAAAAAATGCTGGTAATGCTAAGCCACGGCTTTTCTAAATCATTTTTAGAATGTTTATTGATCTGTATTTAGTTAAGAGCTTGATGACATGTTCATACTACACATTTCATTCCTTATGAAGCAGTGATCTTATTTATTGTATTTTTGTTACTGAAAAGGCAATACATAGAATGGTATTGCTTCCAGTTCTTAAGAGCTTTTACTGGTTACTTGGGTTTCCTTCCTGTACAAGTGTCTGTCTGTATCCTCTTTTTTTAATAAACAGTAGCATGATATGCATACTTTGTAACCTGCTTTTTTCCTTCCTGTATATTGGCAGTCTTTATATGTCAATACATACCACTCATTCTTTTTGGATGAGCAATTGAGTATTCACTAATTCTGTGTTGGCAGTAACTTTGTAGAACACAGCTGCCACAAATCAGGACAACTGACTGTATTTTAGTAGGCAAAAATGGAGTCATAACATAGTTTCTTATTGGAGAAATAGGTTGTGAGAATATTTGATGCTCATTTGCTTCCCTTAGGACAGCAGCGTTCTCGGATGCTAGCCACTCTTTTTAAGGATGAAAGGTGCCAGCAACTTGCTGCTTATGGGATCCTGGAGAAAATGTACCTAGACAGGATCATCAGAGGAAATCAACTTCAAGAGTTTGCTGCCATGTTAATGCCTCACCAAAAAGCAACTACTGCTGATGGTAATGATCAGGTCTTAATTTGTGGAAGCAAATATTTAGGTACACACAGTGGCAAGTGTGTTAAATTTGAAGCATCTTGATATCTTTCTATAATATTTTTACATAACACTTGATGACCAAAAAGGAGTATTATATTGACTGAAAATGAGTGTTATATCCAGATAGGGTTTAAATAATAAAAATAGCCCTATTGGAAAGCATATTGTAAAATAATGCATCTTCAGAGATTACAAGGGCAGAACTATAACCTATGTTAATAGTGCCTGATTTTTATTTTTTATTTATTTGTTTTTAAAATTTTATTTATTTGACAGAGAGAGACAGCCAGAAAGGGAACACAAGCAGGGGGAGTGGGAGTGGGAGAGGGAGAAGCTTCCCACTGAGCAGGGAGCCCAGTGCAGGGCTCAGTGCGGGACCTTGGGATCATGACCTGAGCCAAAGGCAGATGCTTAATGGCTGAGCCACCCAGGTGCCCCTAGTGACTGGTTTTTGAAAAACTCAAACCCTTTGATAAGTACCTTAATTAATTTTTTTTAGAGATTTTATTTATTTATTTGACAGCGAGAGATCACAAAGAGGCAGAGAGGCAGGCAGAGAGAGAGGGGGAAGCAGGCTCCCTGTGGAGCAGAGAGCCGGATGTGGGGCTCGTTCCCAGGACCCTGAGATCATGACCTGAGCTGAATGCGGAGGCTTAACCCACTGAGCCACCCAGGTGCCCCAACCTTAATTAATTTTAAGCATCAGTTTTTAACAGTGTAATTATCCAGTCCTATTTTAGATAGAGTAAAATTTGGCACAGTAGCTTGCTTAAGGTTATTCAGGGTGAAAGTGCTACCAGTAAGAATAGAACTTGGTGTCATGTTTCCTAGTTAAGGGATCTATTTGCTTGCCAGGCTACCTTTTCCAGAGAAGTTTTTAATAGTTGCTTGTTTGTAACATCAGTCACTTTATATATGTTTGTCTACAGAGGTTTTAAAGTAACTGAAACAATAACACGTAATAATAAAAATATAAACAGAGCATCAGAAACATGAAAAAAGTCAAGATAAACGCAGATCTGTTAGACTTACTTCCTTGGATTCAACATCATCCTATATCAAAGAGAATTCAGCTGTAAAAAGTCATGTATGCAGGGGGTTTGCTAAAAGGTATACACTTCACCCAGTCTTACTGCCCTGAGTTAGACCAGATCACTGAAGGAATTGCAGTGACCGCCTGTTGAATTTTTCATTTAATTTATACTTTAAGAAGCAAACTAGTTGATTTTCATCGTTCTGTCTAAAGGAGGTATTTTTTCTATAGGATATTGGTTATGCAGTCCTCAGGAAAAGTTCCTCACAGTCTTGCAGCTGTGATTCTCCTGAACAGTTTTTTTTGTTTTTTTTTTAATCTTATTTAAATACACTCTGGGGGCGCCTGGGTGGCTCAGTGGGCTAGAGCCTCTGCCTTCTGCTCAGGTCATGATCCCGGGGTCCTGGGATCGAGCCCCACATCAGGCTCTCCTCTCAGCGGGGTACCTGCTTCCCCCCGCCCCCCGCCTGCCTCTCTGTCTGTTTGTGATCTCTGTGCAAATAAATAAATAAAAATCTTAAAAAAAAAAAAATACACTCTGAGTTGGTTGGTTTTTCTTATCTTGACTGCTAGAAAGCTTATTAAATTAGCAGCCTACCTATAAATAGTGTGTATGTATGTGTTTTGATTGTTGTTACTTTTAAATTCTTTTCCATGTATTCTGAGCAGCTAACATTCTGAGACATCTAACAAGTTGGAAAAGATAGTTAAAAAGAAAAAGTTTCCGGAAGTGATATAGTCAAACTTCACATTTGACTTTGAACTTTCTGGCTATGAAAAAAAAAAAAGTGAAAAGATTCTTTCTAAAAAGGATGCTTCTTAGGACCTCTGAGGATAAAAATAATCATCAAATCTCTCCCATGGGACTATAAAGAGGGGACAGATGTTTCGTTGTCTTCTCCCATTTTAGGCCTTACTGTTTTTCTTATTTATCTCTTCTGGACATTTTTGTTGATTGGCATTATAACCTTTAGCAATCTTGAGATGTAATTTTTTTTAATTATAATTCATTTTTTGTATTCTTAAAGTTGTGTAATATTACTGCTAATCTGCTTTCTGCTCACTAGATTTGTCTGTGGTGGACATTTCACATAAATGGAATCACACAATATATGCCTTTTCACTTGGCAAAGTGTTTATCCATGTTGTAGCATTTATCAATACTTTACTCCTTTTTATTGCCAAATAATATTCTATATGTGAATATACTGCATTTTATTTCCTCATCAATTGATGGACATTTAGGTTATTTTCACTTTGGGCTATTGATAATGCTTCTATGAATATTCATGTAAAATTTTTTCTATTTTAATTCAGTTAATTAACATAACGTATTACTGGTTTCAGAAGTACAGGTCTGTGATTCATCAGTCTTTACCCAGTGCTTATTACATCACATAACCTCTTTAATGTCCAACACCCAGTTACCCTATCCCTTCATCTCCCTTGCCTCCAGGAACCCTCAGTTTGTTTCCTATGATTAAGAGTCTCTTATGGTTTGTCTCCCTCTCTGATTTCATCTTTTATTTTTTCTTCTCTTCCCCTATGATCCTCTGCTTTGTTTCTTAAATTCCACATATGAGTGAGATCATATGATAATTATGTTTCTCTGATTGACTTATTTCACTTAGCATAATACCCTGTAGTTCTAGCCACATCATTGCATATGGCAAGATTTCATGCTTTTGACGACTATGGAATATTCCATTGTATACATATATCACATCTTCTTTATCCATTCATCTGTCAATGGACATCTAGGCTCTTTCCACAGTTTGGCTATTCTGGACATTGTTGCTATAAACATTGGGATGCAGATGCCCCTTTGGATCACTACATTTGTATCTTTGGGGTAAATACCTGGTAGTGCGATTGCTGGGTTGTAGGGTAGCTCTATTTTCAACTTTTTGAGGAACCTCCATGCTGTTTTCCAGAGTGGCTGCACCAGCTTGCATTCCCACCAACAGTGTAGGAGGGTTCCCCTTTCTCCACATCCTCACCAACACACATTGTTTACTGTCTTGTCAATTTTAGCCATTCTGACCAGTGTGATGTGGAGTATTTTTTCATGTGTCTGTTGGCCATTTGGATGTCTTCTTTGGAGAAAGGTCTGTTCTTGTCTTCTGCCCATTTCTTGATTGGATTATTTATTCTTTGGGTGTTGAGTTTGATAAGTTCTTCATAGATTTTAGATACTCGCCCTTTATCTGATATGTCATTTGCAAATATCTTCTCCGATTCTGTTGGTTGTCTTTTGGTTTTGTTGACTGTTTCCTTTGCTGTGCAAAAGCTTTTTGTCTTGATGAAGTCCTAGTTGTTCATTTTTGTCTTTGTTTCCCTTGCCTTTGGAGATATGTCTAGCAAGAAGCTGCTGTAGTGGGGCACCTGGGTGGCTCAGTGGGTTAAGCCTCTGCATTCAGCTCAGGTCATGATCTCAGGGTCCTGGGATTGAGCCCCAAGTCGGGCTCTCTGCTCAGCAGGAAGCCTACTTCCCCCTCTCTCTCTACCTGCCTCTCTGCCTCCTTGTGATCTCTCTCTGTCAAATAAATAAAATCTTTAATAAAAAAAAAAGGAAGCTGCTGTAGCCGAGGTCAAAGAAGTTGCTGCCTGTTTTCTCCTCTAGGATTTTGATGGATTCCTGTCTCACATTAAGGTCTTTCATCCATTTTGAGTCTGTTTTTGTGTATGGTGTAAGGAAATGGCCCAGTTTCATTCTTCTGCATGTGGCTGTCCAATGTTCCCATTACCATTTGTTGAAGAGGCTGTCTTTTTTCCATTGGACATTCTTTCCTGCTTTGTCGAAGATTAGTTGATTAGTTGACCATAGAGTTGAGGGTCTGTTTCTGGGCTCTCTATTCTGTTCCATTGATCTATGTGTCTGTTTTTGTGCCAGTACCATGCTGTCTTGATGATGACAGGTTTGTAATAGAGCTTGAAGTCCGGAATTGTGAGGCCACCGTTTTGGTTTTCTCTTTCAACATTTCTTTGGCTTTGGAGCCGACTTCTAACAGTTCTGGTTTTGTGCTCCGCTGCTCTATATCGGTTGTGGCCAGCCGGTGGCAGAGGCTCCCGCCCCATCCCCTTCCCCACCATGGTCTGTCTGCCCATGTATTACCTTGATTCACTTCTTTGGAACATCTACCTTGCAGAGAGTGGTCGCTTCTCTCTCTGTAGAGTTGCAGCTGTTCTTTCTCAGCCTTCCGGTTGGGTCACAGGTGTTCAGAATGACTTGATAGCTGTCTAGCAGAAGTCTTGGGACCAGATGAAATTATGGTCTCCTATTCCTCCACCATCTTCACTGTGAAAATTTTTGTATGAACACGGTTTTTAATTCTTCTCGGTATTCACCTAGGAGTGCAGTGACGGGGACATGTGATAACTTGGTGGTTAGTCCTTTGAAAAGTTGCCAGATTGTTTTCAAAAGCAGCTGCTCCTTTCTGCACTCCTGTCAGCTGTGTGTGCGGGTTCTGATTTCTCCATATTTTCTCTCATGTTTGTTATCCGTGCTTTTGACTTGGACACCCTCGTGTGTGTGAAGTTGGTGTCACATAGTTTTGATTTGCCTTTCCCCGAACAGCTTTTCATGTACTTATTGGCTATTTGTATATCTTTAGAGAAAAAGTTTGTTTGGATCCTTTTCAGTTTTTAAACTGGGTTATTTGTCCTTTTATTACTGAATTGTAGGAATTCTTTATATATTCTAGACCTGATCATTACCAGGTGATTTGCCAATACTTTCTCCCATTCCGTGTGTTTTCTCTTCACTTTCTGGTGGTTTCCTTTGAGACATTAAAGTCTTTAATTTTGATGGAGTCCAGTGTATCTGTTTCTGCTTTTTGTTGCCTGTACTTTGTACTGAGAAGCTGTTGCCTAATCCAGGGTTGTGAAGACTTGCTCTCTTTTCGTCTGTATGTTTTGTAGTTACAGCTTGTACATGTAGACATTTGATTCATTTGAGTTCAGTTTTGTATGTGGTGTAAGATCAATGTCCACCTTTATTTTTTTGCATGCAGATACCCAGTTGTCCTCGTAACTGTTGAAGAGACTGTGAGTTCCCCATTAAATTATCCTGGGACCCTGTTGATAATCAGTTGACCATAAATGTGCGAGTTTATCTCTGGAGTCTCAGTTCTATTCCATTCTGTATTCCTATCCCTATACCAGTACCACATTGTCTAGGTTACTCTATCTTTATAGCAAGTTTTGAAATTGGGATATGTGAGTCCTGCAACTGTTTTTCCTCTCAAGATTGTTTTGGCTCCTCTGAGTCCCAATAGAATGAACTTTAAAATCAGTTTGTTAGTGTCTGCCAAGAATCCAGCTGGAATTTCGATAGGGATTACCCTGAGTCCATAAATCAACTTGGGGATTATTGCCATCTGAAAAGTATTAAGTTTTCCTATTTTCCCTTTATTTACGTTTTTATATTTGAGAGTGGCTAAGATAGTAGATCTTAAAAGTTCTCACCACAAAAAAACAAACAAACAAACAAAAAACCGTGAGGTGATGGGTGTTAGTTAAATTTATTGTGGTAATCATTTTACAGTGTATACGTATATCAAATCATTATGTTGTACATCTTAAACTAGTACGATATTATAGGTGATAATCTGTTAAGGGTTAATATTCAAAATATATAAAGAACTTCTAAAATTCAGCATCCAAAAAACAAATAATCCAGTTAAAAAAAGGGTGACATTTTTCCAAAGAAGACGTACAGATGGCCAACAGACACATGAAAAGGTACTCCACATCACTCATCATCAGGGAAATACAAATCAAAACCACAGTGAGATCCCACCTCACACCTGTCAGAATGGCTAAAATTAATAAGTCAGGAAACAACAGATGTTGGTGAGGATGTGGAGAAAAGGGGAACCCTCCTACACTGTTGGTGGGAATGCAAACCCGTGCAGCTACTCTGGGAGACAGTGTTGAGGTTCCTCAAAAAGTTAAAAATAGAACTAACCTACAATATAGGAGTTGCCCTACTGGGTATTTACCCGAGGTTTACAAAAATACTGATTGAAAGAAATACATGTACCTCGATGTTTGTAGCAGCATTGCCTGCAACAGCCAAATCATGGAAAGAGCCCAAATGTCCATTGACTGATGAATGGATAAAGAAGAGGTGTGTACACACACACACGCACACACACACACAGGAATATTATTCAGCCGTGTCAAATAAATAAAATCTTCTAAAAAAAAAAAAGTGTAAAACAAGGGGCACCTGGGTCATACGGTTGAACGTCTGATCGATGGTGACCATGTGGTGTGATCGATCAGGGTCAAGAGACTGAGCCCGTGTCGGGCTCTGCTCAGCGTGGGGGCTGTCGGAGATTGTCTGTCCTCCCTCTGCCCCTTCCCTCCCACTCACTCTCTCTCTCAGACAAATAAATAAATCCTTTGTAGAAAAAAGTATAAAACAAGTTTCAAGCTTTTAATGGTCTTATTTATATTTAAGGTTCTAGCATCTTGGACAGAGCTGTTATTGAACATAATTTGTTGTCTGCAAGCAAATTATATAATAATATCACCTTTGAAGAACTTGGAGCTCTTTTAGAGATCCCTGCAGCCAAGGTATTTTCTTGTTTCCAATTTATAAAAAAAGAAGTTAGACTAAACTACAATATGTAATCGATAAATATTGGCAACTGCAATAAAAATACACATAAAAAGCCTCAGGAAAATAGAAGTAAATTATTTGAATGTTAAAGTAGTAATGTAATGGAATTGTCCTACTTTTTTGCTTTTTTTTTAACTGTATTTTATGATAAAGTGACCTAGAATGAAAATCTTTAAGGGGTTCCAGGTTATGATACCTGTTTTATGAGAGTCTTTGTTTAGTGTCTGTTTCAGTCCATTTCACGGTGTTTTCTGATTTCTGATGAACTTGAGATTTTGATACATGCCTTACTTCCTTTTCCGCTCTAGTTGACTCAAAGGTTAAATATTTTATCTGTTTGAAAGAATAACTGTGGTCATTCTCTAGGCTATTCTGTTATAACTTTTATGCTTGATTTATCTTAATTGACTGAGTTAGTAGGAAATTAATTTTATTTTTAGTCATGATAAAGGTTTGGTTGGCTCTGTACAAATACCAAAAAAGTACCAACAGTGTTTAGAGGGTATTTCAGGTATCATTTAAAAAACATTCTCTTAATTTTAAATAAGAGTAGAAGTAAGCAATCCACTTATTTTTACCTAACTTGCATATCTTAAATCATGTAGTAATGGATCATGTCCCCTTTTATCTGTTGGTGAAATATTAATTTAGAATTTCCTAACACAGTTACTGTACTTGTACATATTCAGTGCATAGTACAGGAAGTGGAACCGTTTGGGAACCAAAGCTTAAGTTCCCATTAAAAGATACTTTCTTTTGGGGCGCCTGGGTGGCTCAGTGGGTTAAAGCCTCTGCCTTAGGCTCAGGTCATGATCCCAGGGTCCTGGGATCGAGCCCCACATCGGACTCTCTGCTCGGCGGGGAGCCTGCTTCCTCCTCTCTCTCTGCCTGCCTCTCTGCTTGTGATCTCTGTCTGTCAAATAAATAAATAAAATCTTTAAAAAAAAAAAGGATACTTTCTTTTTAGGCTAAGACTAATTATTTAACAATAAATGATAGTACAGTTGTTTAGGCTTGATTGTGAAGATGATCAGAATTACTAAAATGACCAAGTCATAAGCCAGTTTGCTTACACATAGTAAACATGAAACATGTCCTTAGGAGCTAGGTAGAGGACCTTTTGGTTCCGTTTAATGTCTTTTTTTTTTTTAAGATTTTATTTGAGAGAGAGAGGGAAAGCACAGAGGGAGAGTGAGAGGGAGAAGCAGACTCCCTGCTGAGCAGGGAGCCTTATGTGGGACTAGATCCCAGGACCCAGAGATCATGGCCTGATAAAAAGGTAGATGCTTAACCGACTCAGCCACCCAGGCCCCCCCCCTTAATTGTCTTTAAAATCCTTTTAATTTTTATTTATCTATCTATATATTTAATTTTTTAAAAAAGAGTTTAGTTTTTTAAGTAATCACTAAACCCAGTGTGGGGCTCAAACTCACAGCCCTGAGATCAAGAGTCCCATGCCTGGCACCCCTTTTTAATTCCCTTTTAAATTTGAACATCATTCCTCCTTCAAAATAATACTTTCTTCAAAAATACTACTTTCTTAAAGAATTTTCTAGGTGATAAACACTGCAAATTTAAATGAAGTAAAAAGAAAAACTAGTTTGTGTAGGCTTTCTTGAGGTATGGATTTCCGTGAGAAGAAAAATTGTTAATTTGATTTTAGGCAGAGGAAGAAATTGGTAAGAGTGTTAGGCTCTTGTCCAAAATCTCAGAAGTAAAACAGATCCCAGCTAACGTAAAGTAATGGGTTATATCGAAAGGACTGGGGGATAAAATAGGCAGATTTACAAGATTAATCTTGTGATGAATGGCAGATGAACATAGAAAGTGTGTGGGTAGCTAAACCAAGAGATTTCAGTTCTCTTACATGTGAGGAACTGTTAGATATGATAAAGTTTACGAGAGTTTATTGTTTCTTTGTTTTTTTTTTAACAGGCAGAAAAAATAGCATCACAAATGATAACAGAAGGACGTATGAATGGATTTATTGATCAGATTGATGGAATAGTTCATTTTGAAAGTAAGAGGTTTTGCTTATTTCTGTCATAATAAAGTGGCAGGAGACTCTTGTGTACTTAGGATTAGGCCCTGTTGAACAATTTCCTTTGACCTAGTGTATTACTACTGGAATAAACTTACTTCCCTTATTCCTAGAGAAATAATTTGAAATGATTTTTATGAACTTACATTTATGAATCTACTTAATGCTGCATTTTAATGCTCTGGAAGCATTTGAAACCAGAATCAGTAAACCAGTTCACCCTCTCACTCATCACGTGGCGCACCGTGTGCCCGCTCGAGGGTGCTAGCGCGGGGACTCCCTCCAGCAGCGCGTTAGACTCACGGGGCAGCTCCCTCCGTTCCCTGACTCGTGTTACCTCCTCAGCCCCGCTTTCTACCTCCTTCCCATCATGGAACTTCTGTGCCTGGAACCATGCTACTTGTTAAGATTTGATTTTGAGATATCCCGTTCTCACTGTGTTTCCTGTCTTTCTAGCAGTCCGTGTCCCTTAAGTTCAACTCTTCTGACCGCTTTGCAGCCTCCGGTCCATTATCGTTTTCTTTTTCCTGGTCAGGCCAGCCCTTTTTTGCGTCACTCCTCTTCCGCTCTGACTTGGCATCCACGATTCATTATATCTTTATTTCTTTTTTTAAGGTTTTATTTATTTTTATTTTAGGGGGAGTGAGAGTGCACAGGGGAGGAGCAAAGGGAGAGAGAGAGACTCTCCAGTGGGCTCCATGCTGAGCGCAGAGCCCGGGGCAGGGCTCAGATCATGACCTGAGATGAAACCAGGAGCTGGTGGCTCAGCCAACTCAGCCACCAGGCGCCCTGATCACTGTTTTACTTACCGTTTCGCAGGTGCCCTGGATGACTTGCCTGTTAACTTTTCGACCCGGCTGTCCAGGAAAACTTCGCCTGGAATGAACCCATCCTCCATCTTTTTCATTCCTGTGCTCGAGTAGCTAACTGATGTTGCCAGAGAGGAGTTAGAACAGCAGACAGATTGATGACCACTGCAAATTCAAGGTCGTGGGTTCTCAACAGTACCTGGGACTCTTGACATATTTTTTTTTCCTACCCTGCAGTGGGGATTTCAGATTTCAGTTTTCATAAATCTCGGACTTTTCTCCTCCTTCACTCTCAGCAGCAAACCTTGTTTCCTGTTTTCACAGGGAAAAAAATCTACCAGTGTAAAATTAAGTGAACTTTTTGGTCATATTTATAAAACTTCTGAATATTAAATACCATGTGATCACGTCTTTTCTTCCTTCGTGTTATACGGGAGGTGGTTTCTGTCTCCCTTTCCAGTTCTTGTGCTTCGGGTCCCTTCTCTGACTGGCATCCGTCCCTCTCAAAACCAGCTTCTTAGGAACTTGAGCTTAGTTATTTCGTTTGTTTTCATTCTTTCTTGCTCTATTGGCTTCTTTCTGCCAATATTTAAATATCCTTGGGTCTCTCCCATTTTAACAAGGATATTTTTATCCTTCAGGCCTCATTTTGACTTTTCGGCATCTCGAGTAACTCTGATCATCTCTCCTTTCTGAACCATCCCCACCACCCACAACGCCCTTCATCTCTCACCCTGTTCTGCTTTCCCTCCTCCTTTCCCAGGTATTTGTCCAGTCATCTTTGTAGATTCCGTTGTGCCTTTAAATATGAATATTGCTAAGGGCGAACTCCAGCCCTTTCCCTCCTCACTCTCCTGTTTCCCTTGATTCACTGGCTATTTCCATGCAGACAGTTCTTATGTTTGCCTTTCTAGTGTATGATTCTCTTCTGAGTCCTAGACCCACTGGTGTTAACTGACTACTAGGTCTTTTCCATCTGTTTGTTGAGCATCTCAAATGAACATACCCCAAACTGAATTCATTATCTCCCCTCCCTGCGTCCCTTCCACAGCCTGCCAGCCGGCAGATGCCTTGTTCGCTTCTCCAGCCTTCCTTATCCTTGGTCCCTCTTCTTTGCTGCCCAGAATCCTTTCAGTTTTATCTCCCAGGTGCATCTGGAACCCATTTACTTGTCTTCGCATCTTAACTGTCACCGGCCCATTCTGAAACCTCCCCCACACCCTGGGCTTCCCCCTCACATCTGCCGTCGCTCCTCTCTGGCCTCGTTGCCATAGTACAGTCGGAATGGTGATGATCTTTTGAAAAGGCGAGCAAACAAAACAAAAACCAAATTATTAAATCCTATCAGTTGTGTTTCTGAAGTGAGGCCCTGTGGACCATGAACACATTTTTAAAATTCTTACGCAGACAACTATGTCAATTTTTCATTTTATGGCTGTTTAATTTCCTATATTCATTCAAAAGGTCTCATTCACTTTGGGATAAAAGTAAGACTTTTCCAAAATTTTAAAAATACTTTCATTTATGTTCAGAAATAACTGTCTACAGCTTATTTTTGTGTATAATTTTAAGGTATGATCTAGTTTATCTTTTTTTAAAGATGGATTGCTGATTTGCAAGTACTATTTATTAGTTAAGACATACTTTCTGATCTTTGGCAAATACTACGTTGTATATACGTGTTTGGATCTCTTTCTGTGATCGTTTGGTTCCACTGATCTGTGGCAATATGGTAATAAATTTATAGTAAATTTTACTGTTGGAAAAGCATCTCCTGTCCCTCCATTGCTATGTTTATTACTGAGTTGAAATTTATATAACAGGAACCATTTTATTATTTATCTATTAAAGATTTTATATATTTATTTGACAGAGAGACACAGCAAGAGAGGGAACACAAGCAGAGGGAGTGGGAGAGGGAGCCCGATGTAGGGATCGATCCCAGGACCCTTGGATCATGACCTGAGCCTAAGGCAGACGCTCAGTGACTGAGCCCCCCAGGCGCCCCGACGTGAACCATTAAAGTGAGCAATTCGGAGCATTTAGTGGGTTCACGGTGCTGTGCAACCACGCGCTCTACCTCGTCCCAAATGTTTCGTCTTCCCAAGAGGAAGTCTCGTGCCTCTTGAGAATAGTTGCGTCCATCCTTCCTTCTCCCGGCTGCCACAGCCGCTGTCCGAATTTTTGCGCTGTGGACGCGCGTGTTCTGGACGCTTTGTAGAGACGCAGTCGTGCGCCGTCTGACCGCTCACTCTCGCTTAACACAGTGCTCTGCGGATCCGTTCCTGTCGGCGCGTGGAGCACCGCTTGCTCCGCGGCAGGGCCCACTGCAGCGCTGCACTGTTCTTGATGTCCCAGATCATCTTAGCTGTTTTCAGACGTCACGTCCTCCGTATGAACGCTAATGATCCTGTCCTGTTAGAAAGAACAACAAAGAAAGGGGGGATTATCTTCGTAATTAAAAAAAAAAATGTATGTGTGAACAGGGAGGGCTGTTCTTTTCTTTGTGATACTGCATCTTTCTGTCTGAGGCTGTCGTTTCTTCTGCTCAGGTTATTTTATGTCTTTTATTAAAAATTTTTTTATTTCAGTTTTTTAAATTCTGTGTCCATTTTTGTATATTTGGGTACTGTTTTGAGTAGAATATTCCCCTTTTAACTGCATATTGCTGGTGTGGAGAAAATCCTGGTGATTGATTGATTGATTGATTGATTTGACAGAGATCACAGAGAGGCAGAGAGGCAGGCAGAGAGAGAGGAGGAAGCAGGCTCCCCGCTGAGCAGAGAGCCCGACGCGAGGCTTGATCCCAGGACCCCGGGATCATGACCTGAGCCGAAGGCAGAGGCTTTAACCCACTGAGCCACCCAAGGGGCCCAATCCTGGTGTTTTCTTGCTGAGTTTTGTTTTGTTTTGTTTTGTTCTAAAGATTTTATTTACTTGACAGAGGGAGAGACAGCAAGAGAGGGAACAGAAATGGGGAGTGGGAGAAGCAGGCTTCCTACCGAGCAGGGAGCCCAATGCAGGGCTCGGTCCCAGGACTCCGGCATCATGCGCTGAGCCGAAGGCACATGCTTAATGACTGAGCCACCCAGGCGCCCTGCTTTTTTGTTTAAACATTAAAATATTTATCCCTCAGAGTCCAGTAGACAAAGAGATGTGCTTTGTCCACTAGGTGGCAGTATCTTATGACTCGAGAAACTGCTGGTGGGTTCAGCGAGGCTTTTATGGTGGTGGTTTGGTGGTGGTTTTGTGACTGACGTGCTTTGATTGGTTGGTTTTCTTTTGTTTTCATGAATAATAATAACATGGATCTGTGCGGATATGCTTTTGGTTTTGTACTTTGTGCCAATAATTTGGGTACTTTCCTTAATATTGCTCGATTAGCTTAGTTTTATTAGCCAAGATTTTTGGAATGGATTTTTGAAAACTAGTATTACTGTGTTTATCTTTTGAGTTACACTTGCCGAGCATTCATGGAGTAATGGTAAACGGCGTGTGTTCTTCTTCTGTATAGCACGGGAAGCCCTGCCGACGTGGGACAAACAGATCCAGTCCCTTTGTTTCCAAGTGAATAACCTGCTGGAGAAGATCAGTCAGACGGCGCCAGAGTGGACAGCACAGGCCATGGAGGCGCAGATGGCCCAGTGAGCGCGTGACGGCTTTCACTGAGTTGCACGGATGAATTTCACGGTCTACCCACAGCATTTGCATCATGACCTTACGTATTTCAATCCCTTTTATGCTGGATCCCATTTAAAGAAGACATTGTTAGAACAGGAAGCGCAAGCATTTAAAAACCTGTAGTTCCCATACATTCAGGGTCTCTGTGTCCAAGCTAACTCAGAAGTTTTGGAAGCTTTTTCTTTAAACGGAGTAAGTGAAATATCCGTGGCTAAAAAGTTTGGGATTTGTGATAACTTTGTAGTCATGTAAAACTTAAAGTGCTTTGTGCCTCTCCAAATGTGGTAATTCTAATAAATGGAGACATGAGCCAAATAAAAGTAGTACTTTGTTTTTAATTAGCGAACAGTGTTTTGTTCTTTTCTTTTCATTTCAGTGGACATTGATTTATAGCATGTGCCAGAAGCCCGGAGCCGAGCCTCAGTGCCTGTTCTCCAGCCAGGCGGCCCCAGAGCTGGTAGACAGCGTGTGGGACACTGGTGGTTGCACCAAGCTCCAGAGCGCACAGGGAGGAGCTTTTCATTTCTTAAGAGAGTCCAGGAAAGCTCCTCAGAGAGGGTTATTTCAGGCCAGCTTTATAGAGAAAAGGACTTTTAAAAGTGAGTTTGTAGGCAACTTCCAGTTTCACCTCCAACATGTGAAGAGCATTGAAGTCATCACTCCATCCTCACAATCCGAAGAAGGCTGAGAAGGCTGCAAATCAGTGGCTTTTCTTATTTCCACCAGAGAATTGAGGTCACAGAGCAAACTACTGTGAAGACTGGAAGGAGAGGCAGATAGAAGCATAGGTGAGAGAGCTTGTTGGGAGCACAAGCTCCTGGAGCCATAACTGATAGGAACAGCGAACTGGTAACTTTGACAAGTTCCTGGAGGCCGAGGGTAAACTAGCTTGACAGTTAAACCCCCTGAGGGCCCACTCTCTGGGGAGGCCCTACACTTTCTAGGATTTATCCCCAGGAGCCCCATCAGGTTCTCAGATTAGAGATCAGGATACCCTGTGTTTTAGGCAAGACAGGGGAAGGGAAAGTAACTATTTTGAAATACACCCGGAGCATTTTCCATGGCAAAGGCCTACTTTCTGAGCAGAGCTACACTACCAGAGCCTTACCCAGCCTAGGGCCAGGGCAGTTACTACTACACTTCGAGCCCCTATAGCCTTCTTGTGTCACATAAGAGGAGGAAAAGAAAGGGCTAAGAAACACTTCTGAAGGTCACAGCCCAGGGACTCGGGTTAAGTATAAACAGATTTAGAATCATAAGATTACACGATCCTTCTCAAATCCATTACATCAAACAGGGCTCCAGTGTCGTTGTCCTGGAATTGGAGAGCGATAGGACATGCTCTTTAATACAGTATTCTTAGGGAAACAGTAAAACGGGGAAGAATAAAAACAAGATCAGTGAGCTTGAAAATGTGTTGGTAAAAATTCCCAGGCTGAAATGCAAAACAAAAAACAAACCACCAAAACACAAAAACTATCCAACAACTATGGGACAATTATATAAGCTATAACATAGGTATAATGGGAATACCAGAAGAAGAAGAACAAGAACAGAAGAGATTTTGAAATAATAATGTTTTTTTTCCATAAATTAATGATGGAAACCAAACCATAGGTCCAAGAAGCATAGAAAAGAACAAGCATGATAAATACCAAAAACATCTATACCGAAGTGTGTTGTGTTCAATCTGCAGAAAACAAGGACAAAAAACCTTGAAAGAAGCTAGGGGAAAAAATACCTTCTCTCTCCCTCTCTCTCTTTTAAGATGTATTTGTTTTTGTAGTGAGAGATCACAAGCAAGAGGGGCAGAGGGAGAGGAGAGAGTCCCAAGCAGACTCTGCTGAGTGCAGAGCCTGAAGCAAGGCTCGATCTCATGACTCAGATCAACACTTGAGCCAAAATCAAAAGTTGGTCATCAACCGATTGTGCCACCCGAGTGCCCCCAAAAAACACCTTTTTTTTTTTTAAGATTTTATTTATTTATTTGACAGAGATCGCAAGTAGGCAGAGAGGCAGGCAGAGAGAGAGAGGAGGAAGCAGGCTCCATGCTGAGCAGAGAGCCCGATGTGGGGCTCCATCCCAGGACCCTGGGGTCATGACCCGAGCGGAAGGCAGAGGCTTTAACCCAGGCTCCCCAAAAAACACCTTTTCTATAAAGGAACGTGAGTAAGAATTATATTGGATTTCTCACCAGAAACCATGTAAGGGAGAACTGAGTATAGATATTTAAGACGTTGAAAGAAAAAAAACAGCAGAAGATACTATCCAGCAAAATTATCTTTTAAAAGTGAAGGAAGAGTCTCAGCAAAACTGAAGACATTTGTTGTCAGGAGACCTGTGTTAGAAGTGCTAAAAGTTCTTCGGAGTGAAGGAAATGGTATGGGTTAGAACCCTGATGAAGGAAGAGCATGGAGTTAAAATCTTTTCTAAAAATTTTAATTGGTCTGATAGATTACTTTGTTCAAAATAATAGCAACAATTTTTTAATGTTTGTAGTGTATGGATAAGTAAAAAATGACAGCAATGATGGGAGGCAGAAATTGTGAATATTCTCTTATAAGATTGCTGTACTACACATGAAAGAGCAGTGTTCAAATAATGGACTTAGGTTAGTGTAAATGTACATTGCTAACTGGAAGGTAGAAGAAATTGAGAATATATACACAATTGATTTGCTAAGAGAGAAGGGAGAAAATGGAATCATAATGTGCTCAGTTAAAACCAGAGCAACAACAGAGCATTAAAGGCAAACGCTGATGGAACAGCGAGGACAGAGGGACAGATGCACCATTAGAGACCAGCACCCCCTCATCAGCAGCTGACAGACGCGACAGGCAGAAAGTCGGTGAGAATGTAGTTGAACTCAGCGCTATCAGTCAACCGGGTCTAACTGAGGTCTGTAGACTACTTCCAACAACAGTAGAGTATTTTTCTTAATCTCACATAGAACATTCACGAAGATAGACCACATTTTGGGTCATAAAACATCCTTTTTTACATCTTTTTTTGCTTTATTACCTCAATGAACAGTTGGAATTTGAAATTTTAAAAAATGTCTGTGTGCTGAAGGCCATGGAAGTAGGGAATTTTAAGAGTGAAGATGGGACAGGAGAATAGGCTAAAGAAGTAAACTGAGGCTCTATTATGAGGGGCCAGGGAAATTTTGGGGTCTTTTAAAAAAAATGATCACAGTTAAACTTGGGGCAGGAAGTTTTTAAGACGGATTGGAAAGAAGGTAACGGAACTGCAGTTACTAGAGGCGAGCGGACTAGCTCAGGAGCTTGTGCCTGACTGTTCGAAGACATCATGAAGGTTCGGACCACATCCATGAAGACAAGGAGAAGAGGACAGGTTGATCCGTTCAGTGAATGATTTGAGTAGGTATCTAGCAGGTGTCAGGCATTGTTCTGGGCCCTGGGGATACAGCAGCAAGCAAAATCGGTCATCCAGTGGGGCTATCAAGTGGAATTTAAGTGACAGAAGCCAGTGGCTAATTGTGAGGAGAAGGGCAAAGGGTGTGATTAGTCAGTTCAGGACTCACTGATATTCATTGGTACTTAGAGTTTGTATCTTGAACAGCTAAGTAAGTGGTGATAGCATTTGACATGTGGGGTAGAGAAGGTCTAAGGTACATCCAGTTGGACTCGGTTAGTAGGCAGCTGAGGAGTCGTTCAGAACGTCATCAGTAAGGGAGAGACTGGAAATAATAGTCCTCCCTGACATCTAGGAGACGGTTGAAGCCGTAGGAGTAGATGACGCTGAGGACATGAGGTGTGAAAAGAGCGGATCCCAGATGCAACCTTGCAAAGCACCCAACTCCATGAGGGGAGGAGAAGAAGGGGTAGAGCACTCTGGTTTGCCGAGTGCCCAGTAAGGTGCCTCCACATTTGCTCTCTCTGGAATGGCACAATAAACCTCTCCAGTAGTTTTGCCTCCCCTTCCCCATCCCAACAAATGACATGGATTCAAGGGTGGGGAGAGAACCAAAGGAAACCAGGGAGTGAGGTTTTCATCAGGGCAAAATGACGTGTATAGAACACATAGAATAATGAATGTGAAAAAAAATGTTGCTTTTGCATTTATGAATATTTAATCAAAACTGGGTCATGCTGAATTTGATCACTGAACATTTATTACTTGTCCTGAATCTTCATATGGAGAAGAGAAAGGAGATCAACACCACAAACCTGTCAGGTGTGCAGCTAGGAAGCAGGGCATAGTGTGCTGTTACTTGGCATTAATAATACTTACAGATAATACGATCAAGAGCAAAAAGATTAGCCAAATGTGTTATAAGTGTCTTATAATAGTCATTATAGTCTTTTTTGCTGTCTCAAAGTTCTTAGATGAAAGAGAACTGAGTTGCCATGGACCAAACTCTCCTGCGAAGAAACCAAATTACCGGAACAAAACTATGAGACTGACCCTTAAAATTAATGACACAAAGACACTGAGAGCAAAGAAGCATAAAGTATCTTGTTAGTAAAATCTTTTATTTTGTTTTACGTGCCAAATGTAACACAAAATTCATAAGCCAGAAAGTTTAATAATATGAAAGCAAAGAGAAACTGAGCTGGACCAATTTGGAAAACTAAAGGAAAACATTCATTTAAAATAAATCAAAATTCCGTGGTTTTTTTTTGGTAATCACACAGATCTTTCATATCTCAGTTGCAAAAGGCGGAGGAAGACTCAAGCTGAAGAGATATCTGCTGATGTCAGCGGCTTTAGTGAGAGCTTTTCACCTACAAGGGACACACAAAGAATAGGTTTGAATTTTCTTAATCTACGCTTTTATTTTCAATAAACTTTAAATTTTAGAATCATTGTAGGTTTACAGAAAAATTGCAAAGATAGTACAGAGAGTTCCCATATATCCTGCACCAATTTCCCTACCGGTTACCATCTTACTAAGGTAGGTCTGTTACAACTAATGAGCCAAGGTTGATACATAATATTATTTAGCAAAGCATATACTTCTTTCTATTTCTCAGTTGTTTACCTAATGTCTTCTTTCTGTTCCAGGATCTCACCCAGGATAGCCCATCCCATTTAGTCATCATGTTTCCTACGTTCCTCTCCATTGTGACCGTTTCTCAGACTTCCTGTTTGTGATGACCTTGACAATTTTGACGAGTACCATTTGGGAGTTTTGCAGAATGCCTATCACCGATGAGGTTCCCTTTGGTCACCTGGCTGAACTTGTCAGGTTTCTCCACTATAAGGTCACTCACTCTTTTTCCCCCCTTTTCATACTATACTCTCGGAAAGGACGTCACTGTACAAACCCCCTGGAAAGGGGTGGGCAGTTACGCACCATTCCCTTGAGGGAGGAATACA